CCCACCAGCAGTCAGCTGCTCCCGTGCCCCTGCAGAAAAGTGCCCCAAGTGGTAAGTATTACTACTGGCTAGAGAACCAGAAAAATTCTACCACAGTATCAGTAAGAAACCATTTTAAAAGTTTAGTTCTTGATTTAGTGGTTGTTTTGAATCACATCCACGAGGGCCCTCCAGAGTCTTGGTCTGCTTTTGTAGATGCATTGTGGTCACATTTTGGGCTCCTCTTTTGGAAGTAGCATCACACACATGCTCTGTGCAAAACCTCTGAAGCTGCCAGCTACCAAAATTTACTAGCTAAGCATGGACCAGGCAGTTTATTTCTAAAGACAGATTAATTTTTCAGCCAAAGTCCTAGGCTTTAAACACTTTAAAAGTATGTTTTCATTTTAGTCAGCCATATTGTCAGGCTATTTGATTACAGTAACTTAATAACCTTTGCAAACCTCCTCTCACGGCTTAAAAGTGATTTTGTACTTCCATTAAGTGCCAAATTGCAGCTTCTTAAACTGTTTAATCAGTTTCTAATCAATTTAGCTCTTGTTCCTGAAGCAGCCTGTTAGAGCTGAAATTAGAATTAAGAATCACAGGATAATTCAGACTGGCACACATTTTTGGGAGGTCTGCATCCCAGCTTTCTGCTTTATACAGCCATCAGATCAGATCAGGTTGCTCAGGACTTTATCCAGCCTTGTCATGAAAACCCCAAAGGATGGAGACAGCACAGCTTCTCTGGGTCCCGTCTCAGCTGCTTTATTGTCCTCATTGGGAAAAGTTTTTCATTACGTCAAATCAGAAAATAAGTTCGCATTCTTGTTTATTTCAGCAGAACTCCCTATCTTCTGACTGACTTCTCATTTCAAACTATGAACCTGATGAAGAAATCACGTGGTGATATTCTCTGGCCTGTTATGCTGGAGGTCGGATTGGAATAAATGAAATAATCCCCTGTGACCTTGAATATCTGGATATCTTTCCTAGCAACTCTTACAACAGAAAAAAACATTCTGTTCACTGAAAATCCAAACAAGACAGAATTGCTCCCAATTTAAGGCTGCAATGATGAGGAGAAAAAACCTACGGCGACTGAATTTGTCTTGTTTGGGAATCAGGGCCTGAAGGGAGCACAGCAGCAGAGATCTGCTTGCTTTCTTAGCTCCTTTTTTGACACTGTCCAGATATGTATTGTGAAAGCTGACAACTGCAGTTCACCAAAACCTGCAGCTGTCCCAAGGATCTACTGCTTCCCACTCCACATGATTTCTTCAGCCTGTTTACCGAAAAAGCACAGAGATAAAAAAAGTAAGGGAGCAGAAAAAAAGTACTTTTGAGGCTACGGAGTATTTCAGTTTTCCATATGAGCCGGGGAAATATATCCCCTGAAAGGTGTTTAAATAGTGAGACTACCAGGTGCCTGGAAGAGCAACTAGTATTTACTGACGAGTTTACACTAAAGCTAAATAAAACTCCAGCACACTACAAAAATTCATGCTGGGAACTAGTATGGATAGCTTCACCAGAGTGGCCTGAGCAGGCATAGAGAGTCAACTCTCCTCTGTTCTGTTCCTACATTCCCGCTCAGTGAGGGCTGAGACAGGTCAGAGTATAGCTGTAGTTGCATACAGAACTTGTTTCCAGAGCTATCAACCTCTTAAATGCCTTGCATCCACTTAAAATGGATAAAGGAAATTGAGAATAATGGAAGTAAGAACAAGGACATAATCATGTCTAAAATTCTCTATAGGCTGTGAGGCCATTTTACAAAGACAGTCCTTAAAGCTTTGCTGTACAAGGAAGTGGTCCTAATATTCAGCACCCATTTTTGTCACCTGCACATAATTATTGACAGATCTTCCGTTCCCGTACCAGGTCCCTTTCCACCTGCCAGCCAGTTTAGTATTAGTAGGAGGGTGGCTGGAGGAAGAAGCTCTTTACCAGCAAATGAATAGACCAGAACCACTGAAGAAAGCAGAGAGGAAATAGCACCAGACCACAGGAAGTGCAGAAGCTGGTAAATGGCCAGAGTTCATCGTGCCAAAGTAAACACCAAGAGGGTTAAATATAACATTCATAACAATTCATAACTCAACTGCCTTTGTGGGTTTTTTAAACCACAGAAGAACACCACCACCACAGAAAAAAAGCCCACCAAACCTGGCTATCCTAATCCTGAAATGATTTGCCTTGAAAGTAGCTCCTCAATGAAAGCTGTGCTTAATCACTGTTCTTGCAATCCTTTTTTAGATAGTTTGCATGGGGTATGTCAAATGAAGGAGGACCAGTTTAACAGGATTAAACTGAGAAAAATGAGTTCAAGTTTCTGTGGACAGCTCCTATGAATCCCACTCTGAATCTCTTCGCCAAACTCATTTCCTAATGGAAAGGTCAGTCCAAATCCCAACCACTGGACATACACTTTTTCCAAAACAATTCTCTGCAGACCATATGCTACAAAGATTCAAAGCAATAAATTAATCTCTTTAAGTTACAGCCACTCAGTGCTTTAAAACTGTTGTACTATTAGTAAGGACATACCTAAGCCTGTTCCATTTTCACATTTGAATATACCATCTTGCAAGATCTATTTCAACTGTTTTGAAGAACAAACAATTGTAATTTTCACCCTCATTCATTTCTTTGAATGAAAATAGAGGTTTGCATTAATACTAAGCCTATGGTGCACCTAACCTAAGGTTGCTGCAGAACAGGTAAGAACAAACACAGCAACAAAGCTTCTCTTCTCTGATCAATCGTGAAAAGCAAAACATGTAACAACATACATGCAGAGTGACTCCATTTCCATTCATCAGCTTTGTAAGCAGTATTCGACAGGCTGTCAGGTAGTATCTCCATTTTATACATAGGGGATTGATGAGCAAAGAAATCAGAAAGATTCCCTTGAAAGAAAAGTAACTTACCCAGGAACAGACCCAAACTTCCCTTTGACCATTCTGGGTGCCTAAGTAGGGACTTGCTGAGAGAAGAGGCACCCAGAATGCCAAATTCAACACAGTGTGCATCTGTTTCTGAATTATAAGATCTAAGGCCTCCCAAGAGATTTTATCCAGTTTCATGCCACAAACTGGTGAATAAGGAAGATAATGAGAAGTGTGCAGGCAGCCACTACAGTATCTGCAACAACGGCTCAAGAGGAGGGGAGAGCGGAATACATACACTAAGTGCTGCTCTATGGAATAATGCTCGAAAGAGGTATCTATAAAATCTCTTTACCAGACTGTCCAGTCATCTTGGTCTGTAATACAGCCATGGCACAGTCCACCATTCCATGAAGGCTCAAGCAGCCTTTTCCCATTCTTTTGGGTTCAGAGCGAGATGAAGATTTCTGACAGACATCAAGCATCCCTGTTCTGACTTGTATCAGAGTCCAGCCCCATTCTAGAGACCACAGGTCTTTCCCCTTCCTCAGTTTCTTCAGGTTTGATTGAATCTACAACAGCAGGAGCTGCTGGGAAGAGAAAAACAGTAGTTATGAGGGTATTTACTGATTCCATTCTTAGGCTTACAATAGGCAAGTTTTCAGGACAAAAGGTCCTCCAGATGTATCTCACTACAAACATAAGGGGCGAGCATCTAGAGCTGAAAGCTTGTGTGTTACAGATTATTTGTTGGTTCAGTAAAGTCCCATCAACGTGCCAGTTTGTTACCTGCTCCCCATGCTTACAGACAGACCATGTTTTCTGCATATGCAAACTGCAAAAGCACAGAGTAACACTGGAATACTCCAAGATGGAAACTTGGTGTAACAAAACCTTGCAGAAATACCAATGGAAACAAAATCGCATACTTCACAGCACTTTCAATGCACCTTCAATTCCAAAAATCATTCATCCTGAAGAAACATAAACCAACAAATGCTTGAGAAATCAAACCCATTTTTCACTACACAAAATATATGCTACTGCTTCCTTTGAAATTCTCTTTCTTCTTGCTGTGCTGGCAAAGTCCAGATTAAAAGATATAGTTACTGCCTTCTTTCTACCTATTAGTGTAGAAAAGTGATAGCAACTGAGAAACAAAACACAAGTTTGTTCAGGCAAATAGCTGTCAAGGCCAAGAATAAGGTATTTCAAAGGTCAGGAAATACTGACAGACGCAGCCTCTTGATGTGTCATCTACCAATTAGCCACAGGCCCTAGCTGCATATAAACTGCAAAATACTCAGCTGAACTAATTTTAATATATGAGCATTCTTCTTGACTGTTACTCATCTGAGCCAAGTACTTTAATATAACACCTCACATTTCTTACAGCAAGCTCCCAGCTTTCCCACTTGCAAGAAGTGAATCAGGACTCATTAACTAAAACTGCTAAAAATTACCTAAGTACACTAATATCTCTAAGGTATACCATCCTGTCTTTTTTTATTACCTGCAGCCACGGCTAAAGATTTAGTTTGTCTACACTATACAATGCACTCTTCTGCAAAGCTTGTTAGTTATATGTAGTCTTAGAAACGGTAATTTGGAGCATAACTCACTTCCCAATTTGTCAGTTTTGGATGGGAAGTCAAGAGAGGGTGAGAGGGCAGAGTCCGCTGCATTCCTGACTCTCCACTGCCTTGTGCTGCACATAGCTGCACACACTTTGAAGGGGGGGATACCACTCTAATTAGGCTTTGCCTTCCATCCATTCTGTGTTGCCTAAGTGGCCAGCTGAACTGCAAAGCAATGCAAACTTGATCAGCTTTCCAACAAGCTAATAACACAATGCTGACTACCCTTAGTGATTAAACTGAGAGGCTTACCATGAACAAATGGCTAGAATGAAAATATTTCAGGCTAACAAATCCCACCATACCTAGCAGCCGCACTTAACATTTCACACTGGTCACTCTATTCCTGCAAGCCACTCGCTGCCTCCTCCCCACCTGCTGTTTAAAGGCTTGAGTTTCACAATCCCTAAAAATGGGGGTGGGAAAAGAACATGCTTAGTACACAGAATGAAAGGCATTTTATGCTTTAGGACCTCTTCCTTGCACTTACCTACACTCGTAGGAAATATATCCTCATTGTTGATTTGCACCTCGATCCAGTCCATGAGAAGATTCATATATTGGGGTGCCGGCAACGCTGTGGGCTTCTTGTACTTCACGTCATCCTGCCACCGGTACTCATACTTAGGACCTCCAGACATCACTGGGCAGGTCCTCTCTGTGCAGAACTCACAGATAGTTCCATAAATGAGGTTGATCCTATTGAAGAAGTCAACAACATGGACAGCCACCCAGTCATTTTGGTCTTCTCCGCTGGGCAACTGCACAGCCGCTTTCAAGTCCACGCCTGAGTTCAGAGAGGCCTGTGCTCGTTTGTGAAGTTCAAACCTCTGGGTTCCAGGTTCAAACTTGCGTTTTGGGCGGAAAGTCTTATCTTTATTAAAGACTTGCTTGAGTGCTATGGACATGTCTGCTAATCTTCTGCTCTGCAGTAGCTGGCAGAAAAGCACGGCTGAGATTTAATGCAGGTATCTGAAAATAGTTTCTCCCTACCACAGGTCCTCCAGGCCCTGTTCTTCTTCTCAGAGAAGCTTGTATCAACTTCAGAGCAGTCTACTAGCTCTTCCTCTTGGAAGCCTTCCCGAAAGGCTTCATGTCCCTAAGGATATGGAAACAATATACATTAGTATTAAGCTCAAGTCTGGCCCTGTCAGTTTGTTACTGTTTTACCATCATTTTCTAGTAATTATAAGCTGAAAAGCAAATACATAACAAGCTAGCCTTAAAAATTGGCCAACCCCTAACCTGGTAAACATTTAAAAAAAACAAACAAACAAACAAACTTCATTTTTTAAAGTATTAAGGAATTAACTTCTCTGTCCTTTTTAGATATCTACCCAAATAGAGGCTCTGAAGTTATCATAAAGTTGGGAATTCAAATCGTGTATAATCTTCCTATCTTTAGATAATTTTTAAACCAACCTTTCACTGTATTGCATTTTACAGTGACTGCATACCATACATAATGTATGTATAAACTTAGTAGACAAAATACTATGTTACAATTTAGACGTGTCTTATCTAACTGCTCCTAACATGAGCGATGGCACCTCTAAGCATTTGCCGTAGGCTTCAGTGCTCTTCTCTGCAGGAAAAAAATCCCCGAGCAAGATTCTTCCATATTTCTTCTCTAGTTTTAATTTTGCAAATCTCATAAAACCTAGAGTGAAGCATACAGTCCTGCACAAAAATAATTCCTGTTTCCTACAGAACTGTACAGACATTGTTGTTTTTCTTGACCCACCTTCAGGAATTCAGTAGTGGTCTTAATTTTCTATTGGATAGTGTAGAATGGTAAGAAAGCAATGGTGAAGTGGCCACTTTCTTTATAGCTCTATTCATCTTCTCTACAGGGGAATACTTGCCATTTGCATTCTTACAAAAGGAAGAGCACAGATTTTGTGTTATTCCATCTAACCTACTCTGGCAACAAAGAGTGGTTTTAACAGCCAGTCTGACTGAAAAAATAAACTACTGCTTTAGAGCCTTGTTTGTTCTTATGTATACACGTGCAGAAGAGTATTACCATCAGTAAATGTAAGCAATTAGTACGTGATAGGGTAGATAGGTGCTATCTCAGACTTTTGTTTTAGTAGTGAAGGTTTTATGATTAAAGACAGAAAGCAAACATTTCATGCTGTGCATTATTCAAATTAAATAACACAGTATGTTTTAAATTTGCCCAGCACTACAAAAATCCTATCCTATCAGTTGCTGATGAATTCTCATCATGGGATTATATATGCTCCACTGTTTCCCTTGACAGAAATCATGTCCATGAAAATTTTACTAGGCTGTGTGCGGAAAGCACTGAATTCTTCTGAAGAAAATTGCCCAAAGTTTTGCTGAGGGGCAGAAAGGAAGAGAAAAAGGTGCTTTTTTTCTAAAGCACCACAAGACAGCAACACATACCTAAGCAAAGGGAAATCTGCTGTGCTAGACCCCATCCCTATACAACAGAACCTAAGTGCCATAAAAAAATCCTCTCCCAAATGACTCAAAGATTAGCATGCAGCCAATTTGCCAGCAAGCAGCAGCTAAACAGGCTCAACAGAGAAGTGCTTGTTTTTCCTTTTGCTGATGGAATGGTGGGGGGATACTGCAATCATAAGTTTATAAACAGCCATTCTTTCTGTGCCAGCAAAATATGTGAAGTTCAGGGATGAACTCCAGGGAGACTGTTGTTGTATCTGACATGCTCCTTGGAGTAATGTTCAAACACAGAGATCCTGAGTGTTCCAATGCAGAGATCCTAAAACCCAACAAAAGTCAGGGAAAAAAGACTTTAAACAAAATTAGCCTTGAAACAATTTAGTTAAGTGTCACTGGCAGGAAATGAAGGCACTTTAGAGACAACTTTGCCCTACGGTGTGTTGTTTGTTACTAAGACCCATAACCTCCATCTCTCAAATGCCTCTATGGGAGTCAGCTGCTTATTTAAAAGCCTTTCAAAGAATAGGAGAGTCCTGCTTGCACAGACTGAGCTTGTGACTGACACACTTTGAGATGGCATGGAGCCAATGCCCCAGTTTGCAGTAAATAAGGATGTTGGCTTCAGAGTTTTACAGCTTAGGTAACTACTTCTTTCCCACTTTAATATACCTGTTGCTCTATGTGGCTACTTTGACTCCCTTCCTCACCTGTAAATATTCAACAGAACATGCAGGAGTTTTTATTTAAAACAACAAGCTGAGAACCAAATAAAACTCATCTTCAGAAGACACATTTTGAAGCACAGTACTCACTGCTGTTAAGCCTTTTCCAAGAAAAACAGAAGACACCATAAGCTGAATATACAAATATGATTATTAATTTCAGTAAGTCTGCATAAAACCAATTAATGCAGAGAAAAAGCAACCAAAACACTCAGCAAACAACTCATTATCTCAAGTCTTCTGTGTACCAGTAATCACATGTTGAAATTGTCTGAGGAAGCACACATCCATCATGGTCAAGTTCAACTCAAAGACTAATCCAAAAGATCACTGTGAATCTAGATGAAACTGTTCTTTAGCTCACAAAGGCAGAATCAGAACGAACAAGAATTTCCTACACATTTCCTGTCTAGAGAGTCTTCTCTTCAGCATCTTGCAATAAAAGCTAAGGCTCTTCCTCTTTCATCTTTCTGTCACTTTACACAATACAAATCTACATACTATCTTTGCAAAGCTGGACTGTAGAAGTCAAACTCATTGTTTAATCTCTCTTTGAGATTTAGGTCTGCTAAGAGCTAATGTTTTTCTCTCTCTTAAAATGTGACTTAAGGCTGTACAAAGCCAGGGGATGGATAGACTGACTTTCTCATGCATTTTCACATGCAAAAACACAAAATAGAAAAGTGTATGACCTGAATTTCACAGAAATACTGTGGCGAATCAGCCCTCTGAAATATTTGGTTTGCATCATGTGTCATGGTTTAACCTGGCTGGCAACTAAGC